TTTTATTTCATTGTTAAAAATGTAGGTCATGACCCATGGAATCAATTTCTTTACCAGTTTTTTCAGAATTGGAAAATCATTACAGTTGGTTGTGCAGTTTTATTGTACTTCTTAGACTTTCAGTCTCATGTTACTTTAAAAATAAATTTGTATTTAGGAAATACCTGTTCATGGTTAAGTGGTATAAGGTTGGAAAGGGTCTTCATGAAAAGTCTGTGTCCCTCCTGCCCGGGGTCCCTGCTCTCCTTCTGTGTTTCACAGGAAACCACTGTTGGGAGCCACTGACAGATAGTCTGCACATGCCAGCATGCATGGTGTGGCTCTCCTCTCTGCCTGCTCCTTCCATATACCCCTTACTGCACATAATGAGCTTTCCCTTCTTTTAATGATTGCCCACGTTCCTTTCTATCGTTGTACCAGTATTAACTCAATCAGATACGAGCCCACGGGCAATGAGGTTATGCCAACCCTTTGCTCCCACAAATAGTTTTGTACAAACCTCTTCCTGCATATGTGTGAGGATGAATTCCTAAAAGAAGAATTATTGGGACAAAGTGCATGTGCATTTGTAATTCTCAGCAAAATTGCCATCTTAGGAGGGAGGTTTACCAGGTTGCTTTCCCACCAGCGATGTGTAAGCATGCTTGTTACCCCATACTTTTGCCAACATGGGTATTTGATTTTTTTTAAACGCTTTGTTGTTGATGATGATGGTATTTCTCATTGGAGCTTTAATTTGTATTTCTTGTTGTGAGAGAGGTCAAGCATCTTCTGATGTTTTAAGAGCCATCTGTATTTCCTTTCCCATTTTTTGATTAAGTCATTGATTTGATAAATCTAATTTGAGGTCCGTTGTAAACACGAGCCCTCTTTGCATCTTGCCCTCCTTCTCTAGTCCTTCCTCAAGTTCCTTCTGGCTTAAAAGCAAACAAGCCCAACCAGACCATTTCTTGTGGCCCCATACCTGTTGATGAAGATCAGATGGGCTGATTCACTCTTGTTAGGGAGCAAAATGTTTTAAATGTAGCTTTGCTGGTAAGTGAAAAAGGGCCCAGTGGGGTTTTGCAATAGAGGAGGAGGAGGAGGTGGCTGAGAGAGAGGTTGGAAAGTAACGTAGTGGAGGGAGCAAGGGAAGGAAGTGAAGCAAAAAGCAAGCGGGGAAGGGTAGAGGGTTATGGAAGGTACAGCTGGTGTCCTGCAGGGAGGAAGTCCCCTCCAGTGTCAAATTGGTAAGTTCCTGCCACAGACTGACTGAGAACTCTGCTTGGTGAGTCTGTTATGACAGGCCTCCCAATGGCAGTAAGTTCTCTTAAAGGGAAACAGAGGTGGGGGCATGCCAGCTTCTACCAGGGATACGTGGAAAGTTTTCTATTCCTTATATGTTTTTGGCAGTCTTGATAAAATCATTTAAAACAGTGGGTTGATAGGAAAGGCAACCATTAAGTGACTTGAGGAGAGCAAAACAAACATGTCATTCCTAAGAAATAAAAGCAGCTGGGATTTAGGCCTAGACAGAATCCAGAGGTTTGTTTTGGCATAATTGATGACAACATCTTAAAAAGAGGGGATTTTTATGAAAATTTTTTTGTAGTGAGATTGCTTTACATTCTTTTTCATGACCGGAAAGTCTCTTGTTTGAGAACCAACAAAGAACTTCAGGAACAGAGGGCTTAAGTTTTCTCAACACATATGAATTTTCTCGTTATGAACATTTACACCTTTTGTCAGTAACTGTGGAGTCCTGTGTGGTCTGATCCTCGTGGAGGGGAGAGGGTGTTCTCTGGCTTTGTGCGGGGGGCACAGAGTCTCCTTTTCCCTTGAGCCAGCACAGCCTCCCGAATGTCACCCTGCCCCCTGCTCTCAGGAGGAGCTGGGGAGCTGTTGGCCCGAGCCTCTGAGAGGGGACTGCCAGCCCCTTGACTTGTCTTGACCTCCCTGGTTGGACCCTGGAACTGTGTTTGCAGCTCTTGGCTTCATTTTGTCGTCGCCATTGTTGATCAGGCCAGTCTTTTAAATCCTCCTTGGTACGTTGACAGATTTTACTCGGCCTGATACCAGCAACAAGTTAAGCTCTTTAAAGTTGCTGTCGCTGTGCTTTGATGATCATTCTGCGCGAGGACTGGTCCTGAACTCTCAGCATGTGCTCCTCTTTAGCTGGTGACAGAAGGAACCTCTATGGGGACTGTGATGGCCCCGTGAATCTTGCTCATTTTCTCGCTCTTAAGGAGAAGGAGCCGGGATAATGCATTTGTTGGTTTGTATGTATGTAAAACAACAGTAAGTAGATTTTAAAATTTTCCTTGTAACCTCATGATCTAAGAAGAAGGGAGACTTTTGCTCTGTTATTGGGAGGCTTGTTGAGGCTTGGATATTACCTGCTGAAAGTGTCTCATGATGTTCTTTGTGGGACCAGAGAGGATGAAGTGAGGGCAGGAGCACAGATAGAGGATGCTGAGGCTGTTCCTGTTTCCCAAACAGAGCAGGGGCTTGGGGCTGCCGCCATCCCTCAGGCCTGCCAGTCTGCTGCAAGTACAGACACGACTCTGTGTGAGTCCCCGTGACACACCTGAGACAGGAAACTCATGGGGAAGGGATCACAGATGTCAAGTGTGTGGATAGTCTGGCTGTTTCCTCGATGCAGTTTTTGTTCTGCTCCGAGGCTCTTCTCTCCTACCACTGAGCCTTGCCATCACGGATGTGTGCTAATGTGATCGTTACCCCGGACTTCCCGTTTTCACATGAATTACTTGAGGTTCAGAACAGGAGTGAGAGGCCATTTTGTCTTGGTTTCAGCTTCCCGTCTGAGACCTGCCTCCTTTCAAAGACACTGATCCTGGGAGGGCCTCATTCTCTAGATATGACCCCACTTTCCTTTCACAGGGTTTGCCTTCCCTTCAGAATACAGGAAAGTACACGTGGTTTCAAGAGGCTCCTGTTCTTAGAATGTAACAGGGAGGGAGATAACTAGGTATTGCCCCCATCTTCTTGGTGAGCAGTGTACTTTTCCCTTGCTCATGTGGGGAGGGCGCTTCCTTCTGTACCTCAGTCCAAGCGACTAAGCTTGACCCAGCAACCTAGAGGAAGGAGAGCTGACCTCTTAGCAGTGAGGGACAAGGACGCGAACCTACATTCCTGTCCTTCCTTCCTCTCAGGTCTACTTGGGGAGGCGTGGTGACAACGCTTACTTTTCTACACCATGACCAGCTTGTGGCCTTGCCTACGGTTGCTGAACAGAGCTGCTGGTCACCCTCACAAGTTAAAGAAGGGAGCAAGAAGTTCAAGAAGGCTCCCCATCTCAGAGTGGGGCTAGGGCTGAACATCAGAGAGCAGGCTGACTATAGGAGCTGGGGACATTAGTGTGGCTCTCCTCAGCCTGCCTCCGTGCAGCGACTAACAGTAAAGGCCCTGTGTGCTCACCTCAGTAGAATAGACAGAGGAGCCCGTGGTGGCTGCCTGGAGGAGGGCACAGGAGAAAGCAGAGGTAGCTCGTGCAGTGGGAACGTAGCAGCATAATATTGAGACCGCCGCCGCCCCCCGCCCCCCCCCCCCGGGCCCCGCCTCTTGGCTCCCATTGGCTACAGTAGGATGGTTCCTGCTGGGGTTGCGGAGCAAAAGCCGGGCTCCTGGAATCGCTGTCCCGCCTGGCAATCAGCGGGAGTGG